AAAAAAAGACAGAATCTCACTCTGTTGCCCAGGCTGGAGTACAGTGGCAGGATCTCAGCTCACTGCAACCTCCACCTCCTGCGTTCAAACAGTTCTGCCTCAGCCTCTCGAGTAGCTGGGATTACAGGCATGTGCCACCATGCCCAGCTAATTTTTGTATTTTTAGTAGAGACGAGATTTTTGTCATGTTGGCCAGGCTGGTCTCGAACTCCTGACCTCAGGTGATCTATCCGCCTTGGCCTCTCAAAGTGCTGGGATTACAGGCATGAGCCACCCTGAGCCTGGCCTGTCACAAACCCTTTTGTGAATCTGATGAAATTCATGAACCCTATTCTCAGACACATGCATGACTACACAAATACATCAGATTGTATGTGCCATTTCACAAAACACAGACTCCATCAGTAGTCTGGGGTAAGGATCTCAGCCAGTACTGTACCTTCTCCCTTAGTATAATTATGGATCCCCTTGCAAAATGAAAATCAGGGCTCCCTGTTCGAAGAATTTTAAGAACACAACAGCAGAACATTAAACTAAGCTTAGGGTCCTGTGTGACTGCATTGGTCACCTTTTCCCCTTGCTCTTCTACTACTATCTTTATGGTAATTATTCTCAAATCTGTTTCTCTTGTCCCAACTTGTTCTGAATTTCGGATTCAGCTCCAGAGAACTGCTGAAACCCCATACAGATGTTCTTCTAGCATCTCAAATTCAGTTTCTCCAAAATGGAGCTCCTTACTCTCACTACCTCCTTTGCCCCCTAACTCCAAGTTCCTCACCATCCTCTCACCACCTACAACTTTTTCCTCTCTTTATACCATCCACTAAGTTGCCAAGTCCCATTAATTCTGACCCTCAAACCCATGCCTCCTTCCTTTCCCACTGCCACCCTCCTCAGGGTGGCCTTTCATTATCCTCCATATGTATCACTCTTACTGGTCCCTAAACTCAGCTCCTCAGGACTTCCTCTGCAGCTCCACTCCATACACACCTCTCCCAGCCTCCTCTTCCCAAAGGACCATCCTAATCATGACTTCCACATTCAGAGACCTGCAGTGACTCTCCCTGCCTACAGAGTTGGGCACAAACTCTTTTTCCTGGCATTTAAGATCCTTTACAGTGCGACTCCAAACCTTCTTTTCCATGCTCATCTCTTACCCCTCCTCTTCATGTCCCTGAGGTTTCAACCCAACTGTACAGCCATCTGGTCCCTTAATGGGCCCAGTGTGTTTTCCTGCATTTTAAAATTTGAGCTGCCTCTGTTCATGGTCCTCAGAATTTAGAACTTGCTTACTCCACTACAGGCATGTAATTTCTCTGGACCTTTCACCACAGCCACTGCACATGGCCCTGCCCATTGTGTCCCTGCATCTTGACTGCTGTCCCCTCTTTCTCTTCCTCTCATCCTTATTGGAAAGGGAGCCTCAGATGCAAAACTGGATAAAATCACCATTAAGTATCAAGCAGAGCCGGGTGCGGTGGCTCACACCTATAATCCCAGCACTTTGGAAGGCTGAGGCAGGTGGATCACCTGAAGTCAGCAGTTCAAGACCAGCCTTGTTAACACGGTGAAACTCCATCTCTACTAAAAATACAAAAAATTAGCCAAGTGTGGTGGCAGGTGCCTGTAATCCCAGCTACTCAGGAGACTGAGGCAGAAGAATCACTTGAACCCGGGAGGTGGAGGTTGCAGTGAGTGGAGATCGCGCCATTGCACTCCAGCCTGGGCGATAAGAGCAAGACTCCATCACAAAAAAAAAAAAAAAAAAAGTATCAAGCAGACATAGAATTCCAACTCTGCTGCTTACTGGGTAACCTCAGGCAAGTTACTTACACTCCGTTTCTTCTACTGTTAAACAGGTAGTAACACCTTATATAGTTTTTTTGTTTTGTTTTGTTTGTTTGTTTGTTTGAGACAGAGTCTCGCTCTGTTGCTCAGGTTGGAGTGCAATGGCACGATGTTGGCTCACTGCAACCTCCACCTCCTGGGTTCAAGCAATTCTCCTGCCTCAGCCTCCCAAGTGGCTGGGATTACAGGCACACACCATCATGCCCAGCTAATTTTTTTGTATTTTTAGTAGGGACGGGGTTTCGCCAGGTTGGGTGGGCTGGTCTTGAATTCCTGACCTCAGGCGATCCTCCTGCCTCAGCCTCCCAAAGTGCTGGGATTATAGGCGTGAGCCACCGCACCTGTGATTATCTTTTTGTTTGTTTGTTTGTTTGTTTAAAGAGACAAGTTCTGGCTCTATCACCCAGGCTGGAATGCAGTGATTACAGCTCACGTCAGCCTTGAACTTTAGGCTCAAGTAATCCTCCCGCTTCCCAACTAGTTAGGACTACAGGTGCACTGATTTTTTTTATTTTTTTTAATTTTCTTTTGAGACAGGGTCTTGCTCTGTTGCCCACACTGCCGTGCAGTGGTACAATCACAGCTCACTGCAGCCTTAATCTCCTGGCTCAAGCAATCCTCCCAGCTCAGCCTCCCAAGTAGCTAGGACTATCCGAATGACACCACGCCCAGCTAATTTTTTGTAAAGACAAGAGTTTCGCCATGTTGCCCAGGTTGGTTTCAAACTCCTGAACTTGAATGATCCTCCTGCCTCAGCCTACCAAAGTGCTGGGATTACAGGTGTGAGCCACCATGCCTGTATATTTTTTATATTTTTTGTAGAAACTGGCTCTCACTGTTTCCCAGGCTGGACCTTATATAGTTTTTAAGGAGTTAACATATAAAGTGTATAACATATAAAGTGTATAAAGTCCTAAGGATAGTGCCATTATTCATCTTATTATAACTACCCATGCTGGGCTGGTCCCCTTGGCTCCTCCCCAGGTGCAAGGACTCAGGAAGCATTGCAACCCTCTTTCCATCAAGTTCTAGGAGGCTGTGTGGGGTGGAATGGAGGCTGGCCCTCAGGTGCTCAGGTAGCTGTATTGTATGTCTAGGGGTGGTGAGGGGAGCTGCTGCCTCTGCTCCCTTTGTTCAAACTCATGGCTCAGGCAGCAGCAGGCGTGGGCGTCCCCAGGGGAGGCAGTGACAGTTTCAGTACTCACACGGGCTTTGCAGGTGACAGCTGGGGCTGTGGAGCCCTGCCAGAGGAGGCACAGAGAGACCCCATCACGCACGGGATGTGGGCCCCACTTTGAACCAGCCCAAGTCAAAGCTGAGTACCTCTGGGAGCTAAATGTAGCCTCTAGCCTGTTCCCTGCAGGATAGAGTGGGGTAAGGAGATGAGGCTCAGAGTCTAGAGATTTGGTCCCACTGTGTCATTAATTTACAAATGACTTCTAGGAGGTCCTTGTTCCTCTCCAGGCCTGTTTCTCATCGGCAAAAGAAGTGGGCCTGATTATCTGTAAGGGCCTGTGGCCCTTTGACACGGACTATCCCAGGTCAAGTCAGTTCCAGAGCCTCCTTAGAGAGTTAGGTTCCTTGCTCCTCTAGGCCTGAGTTTTCTGGCGGGTAATAGCAGTTTTCATCAACACCCATTTCCTCCCCCACAGACTCCAAGAACAGAGTCAAACGTGAACAGATGCAGTACAAAAATTCTTTATTGAAAAGGGAAAGGGTGGCCTCTTGCTGGTGCCCCCTGGGCCCTGGCCCAAAGGGGTTGCCACTGCTCAGTTTCTGAATGCAGAAAGTCTGTCCACCCCTTACCTTTAATAATCTTAAAGGGGAAGTGCCGTGGTGGACTAGTAAGTCAAGTGAATCAAGGGCTTCCAGGCCCTTGCCTTTAAGAACTCCTTAAAGGCAAAGTGGACACACACGGCAGCAGATGAGAGCCAGAACGTTTTCAGGAAGGTCCCTGGAGGAAGGGTCTCCGTGTCTTTACCTTTAAGACTCTCTTAAAGGTGAGGCATGTTCACGCAGCGTACAAAGGAGGCAAACTCCGTCAAGGAGTCTACAAAGCACTTTTCCAGATCTCGCTTTTAGAATCTCTTTACAGATGAGGTGGCCAAGCGCGAATTAATAAAAAACAAACTACCTTGCAGAATTATTTTTCTTCCCGACCCAGCAGAACCCGCCCCGCTCACCGGCCGCCTTCAGGTCTGCGTCCTTGCCTTCTAGGCGCCCTGAGGCCTGAAGGTCCGGAGAACGCGTGGGGGCGGGTGTGGAGGTACCGCCCAGCGGCCCCGGGCCGCCCCCCGCGGTCACACCGGGGCATCCTGGGAGTTTTTGGTTTCCTAGACGGCCTCCACCAAGGAAGCCGGACGGGGGCGGGGAGGGGTGGGGCGAGGGGGGGACGAGCGGAGGGCGCGGTGACCATGGCGACCGCAGTGGTCATGGCGACGGCGGCTCAGAGCACCGAGAGGTCGTGACACGACCTGGAGCGCTGCTTGAAGAACTTGGCGTTGCGCGGCACCAGGTTGGCGAGGAACCGCTTGGCCTTCTTGGTGAGGCTCTCGCGGCGTGCGGGCGGTGCAGGACCCTCGGGGCTGCCCGGCTCGGGCCTCTGGCCCCCGGCGCGGCTTCGGCCCCGCCGCAGCCGGATCTGGCGCACCGCGCCCTCGAAGAGCTCCCGCGTGTTGTGGTGCAGTGCGGCCGACGTCTCGATGTGCTTGCAGCTCAGCGTCCCGGCCAGGTGGCGGCCCTCTGCAGGAAGGGACCCGCTCAGGCGCCCGCTAGGCCGTACGGGACCTGGGGCGAGGGTGGGTCTAGGGAGGGCCTGGGCGTGCGGTGGCAAGGGATTGGTACTAGTGACTCCTGCAACCGAGAGAACTTGGCTGAACTCATATGGTGGGGAGGTGAAGGTGCGAAGGAGAGGGAGAAGGAGGCCTAGGGGAGAGGTGAGGGGAAGTGACAAGAAGGGATTCTCAGGGTCCTCGAGTAGGGCATTGGGAGTGTGCCCTTAGCCTGGGTCTGATTGCAAGTGAGAGCGTCCGTAATGGTAAAAAGGCCTTAGGGAGAAGAGGTGACCTGGAAGGGACAGCGTTCCCCTGAGATCCCAAGTATGGAATCTGTTCAGGATACACACCCTCCAGTGATACCTCCCGGGAGCGGGCCAAGTCGCTCTTGTTTCCAACAAGGATAACGGGTAGGTCGTGGTGCGGCCTCCCAGCCCGGAGCCGAAGTAGGGTCTCTGGAACTTTGGAGAAGCTCCGTCGGTCAGTGACTGAGAAGACGATGAGAAAGGCGTCCCCGGTCTGAAGGCAGTGGTCCCGCAGCCACCCTCCTGCATCCCCCTGCAGACAGGCAGAGGAACGTTAGGGCTGGAGGCACAGGAAATCCTGTCCAGCACCTACACCTCAAAGAGGAGGAACAGGGCTGTGAGGGAGAAAGAAGCCACCTGCTTAGGATAGTAGAGCTAGTTAATGGCAGAATCTCCACACCCAGAGTGTTTGTGGAGGAGGAAGAAGTTAGTACTATGAGGATCCTAGACTAGGGTAGCCATCCTAATTTCTTAAGCTTAAGCTCTTGATTCAAAAATGAATATTATTCACACGTCTGTAATTTGGCCTCTTATTTCTACATAGTAACCTTTATGTCCAAATATTCACAAGTCCTCACTTTTTTCCCCCTTCCCTGATATTCCAGATCCCTGAGCTCTTGTCCTGTCACATCAGATTCCTTCAGACTGAAACATTTATGGATGGAGTCAATTTCAGGGTGTCCAGCCTAGCTTGGAGCTGCAGGGTTTGTCAAATTCCCATTCTGAGTTTGCTCTGAGTCAGAAGATCCTGGAAAGACTGTGACTCTTAATGGCTATGGACTGTGGTGTGGGCCTTTGCTTTCTGAAGTGATATGAATGAAAGGTCAGGTTCCAGTACATGTTGAAACTAGGACCAGCAGTCCCACCTTCAGCCACTTTGCCCTTCCCCAGTTCTCCCAGCTTCATTACCTGCTGACAGCCACATCTTAGTTCTCACCTGTTCCCAGATATCATAAACGACTAGAGTCACTTCCTCCTTATCCACCATGATGCGTCTTTCATAGGTATCCTCTGTTGGGAAATAGGGAGAGGGAATAAAGTCCATTAGGAGATTTCCCAACATTTGTGAGACCTGGTAACCAGGGACACCTCAGATATCAGCACCGGGGAACCCCACCCCTCTGCAGGGAGGCTGCCACAGAAAGCATTGGAAAAGCTTCTGTTAAGCTTTGTCCTTCAGGGGCTGCTCAGGTCATGAGCACTTCCTTCCCTGACCAGGGCCCCAGAGCCCCCTCAACCCCTGGAGGGCTTCCTTAAATACCTGGGTTCTCTGGTTCATGAGCACTGTCTCCCTGGAGACCACCAAAAGTGCCTGCTAGGGTGCTCTTGCCCACGCCGCTCTCCCCCACTAGCATGACCTTGAAGATGCCATCCTTTTGAGCAGGGGCTGCCTCTCCTGAGCCCAAGGAGTCAGAGGAGCCAGATGATGAGGCCTGAGGTGGCCAGTCAAGTTCATCTACAGCCTGGGCCCGCCGGAGCTGATGCTTGTAGGGGACAGGCATACTGCCTCTTCGTCTGGGGGCCCCAGGGACAGAGGGTAGCCCGCTGCGGTCCAACTCTGCCAACAGTTTCTCTGGCTTCTTTAGTAGTGTGGTATCTGCTTCTAAAATAAAATGGGAGGGCAAAGAAAAGGACACTATGAGTGGGATATGCCCAACCATATGCAGAAGGGTCAATCCAGGCTGTTCCAGTACCAGAGGCCCAGCTACACCCACTTGACCATTACCCAGAAGGAACTGAGAATGTCTGGCCTGACCTCTTACACTAAAGTCTCCAGAAGCCTGAACTGGAGTTGACATGATAGCTTCTCCAATGTGGTCCCAACCCCAACCTATTCAAAACGTGCCCCATGCAGGGAAGGGACCTGAATGCACACTCACACACCCACTCACACTTTACACTGATATACAGGCACATCCCCAGACTAGGCCTCTGGCCCTGTAGGGTGGAGTGGGAGGGGGGTTTGGGGAAGCTGCCTCTTTTTCCATCAAGAGGCCCTTCCTCCTCCTGTTTCCGGCACTGGTAATCCCCAAACTGAGGAGCAGAGAGGATGAGAAGCTGAAGCTGCTGCCTAGTGTCTGGGGAGTAGGTACAGCAGAGTAAAAAACTTTGTAGTGAGCCTCTTCCTAGGAAAGGGCCTTTGCTTTTTGAGATGATGTGCGTGCTGGGGCTCTGTGGGCTCTCTCTGTGTGTGTGCGTGAGAGAGAGAGGGGCTGCCGCTGCTTCCCGTGGCCCTGTAGGTGAGCATCCCTCATTGCGTGGTTGGGTGTGAGAATCCTGCATCCCTGTCTGTCCCTGTGAGTGGGAGAGAATATTGTGTTCATAGAGCAGTAGAAGTAGAGAGAGAGAGAGTGTGTGTGTGTGTGTGTGAACGAAAGGGAGAGTGACAATGCGCGGGTCAGGGTAACTGGAGGAGGAACAACAGACACAACAAAGGGGGCTGGAGGGAGGCTGGAAATAGCCCAGGATCAATACTTGGCCAGCAGCCAGGACCTCCAGGAGCCGGAAGAACCCTTACAACAGTTCCCCAGGGTAGCCCCTGCCTGTGATTCCCAGGCTTGTGGGCTGCCCCTTTCCTCTCCCCTTCCTTCTTGCCCATCCCAGCCTCGGGAATGAGGCTGAGCTAGGGGCCATGTACCAGTTTCTCAAGCAAAGCCCTGGGAGTGATGGGGGAGGGGGCATTTAGGCAGCTCTTCCCCTCCACCCTAGCCCAACCTCAATCCCTTGTGTGAGCAGGGGTTTTCTCCACTTTCTCAATTGCTCTTCCCCCTCTTGCTGACTGGGCTCAAGCTCCCTCAACCCCTAGTTCTGACCTCCCCATCAAAGCTTCAGCTCCCACCCCCATGGTTTCAGCTGGAACCTGCCCAGGTTAGCCCTCACCTGGCGTGGGCGTCCCTGGAGGGGAGGCCCGGCGGCTGCCAGAGGGGCAGAGTGCTGTGGTTTCTGTGTCCGTGTCCATGTCTGTGTCCGGGTCCGTGTGCATCGGTGTGCGTGTGCGTGTGCAGCCCAGCAGCTCGCAGCACCCTCTCCCTCACTCAGCAGCACTGTCAGCTTTTCCCTTTAAATACCACCCCCCCACACACACATGCCCTCCCCCCTAGACACCTGGGGAAATTGTCCCGCCCCCTGATGAGGTCACACATGCTAATGAGCAGTGATGTCAGCGGGATTCCCTCCTTTCTGCCCCCCCCCCTTTTCTTTGTGTCGCTTCCCTCTGGGAGCACACACACTGCAGAGCTTGGTTGAATTACAACAGAACAGTCAAGGGGCAGAACAGACAAGGGTTGCAGGAGGTGTCAGTGGGTAAGGGAGCTGAGGGTGACAGAAGGCAGGGACCTGGGGAGGTGAAGGTCTTTCTCCAGCAGCCAGGACTATGCATCATTTGTCTCTGTATTTCCAGACACTGTCTAGCCCAGAGAGCGTGTTCAGTGGTTGCACAGGGGCAAGAGGCAGAAAGACTAAAAGCTGGTCTGAAAGACAAAGAGATACAGGCCAAAAGAGGTGTGGGGACTGAGGGTCAGCCACCTGCCACCTTTTCCTTCTCCACCCTGCCTCTTCTGGGCTAAGAGCCACAAAAGTACCCATTTCCTAGCCACTAGTCAGATGCGGGCTCTGAGGAAGGAAATTCAGCTGCTTCAATTGGGCAGCTTTATTTTGCCACTAAGTTCAGGTAGGGGCAAACCACTGTGGAGACTCCTCCACCTTCTCTCCCTGCCAGGCCCACCAAGCCAACGATAATCAGAACAGGAAAAAAGGGTGAGACAAAGCTAGCTATCTCAAACACGAAGTTCCCAATCTTAAGTGGGTGGGGGAGGGGGGAGCGCCCACTACCCCCCAACTCCCCTATCCACTGTTAATGTTTTTTGGTGTAGCTGCCAGGCCTTCTGGGCTATGCAAGGCAGATACACAATGGGTGATGTGTGCCTGTTTGTAGGAAGCCCAGATAGCACATCTCTTTTACTGTTCTTTTTCTGCCCAGTTCCCTTTCCCTTCAGGTTCCTTCTCCTGCCCCTTTCCTCCTCGTCCTCTTTCCTGACACCCTGAAGCTCCCAGACACACATTTTGATTTCCTTTCCTTGCCCTGTTTTTGCCAGATGCTGTGCTAAGTACTTTCTTGCATTATCTCCTTTCATCTTCTTCACCCCAAGGCCCACAATGGTAGGTGGGTGCCCTGTCCCTAAAGCGATCTTGTAGCTGGAAAATGGGAACACCAAGAATCCCACCCACATCTTTCCAGTGCCAAGGATTTTTCATTTCTACACTGTGCTGCTTTCCTTCTCTTAAATATTCCAACTGTCTCCTATTATTGGGAAAAATCTATATTGCAATCATCAGTGGACTTTTCGGGGAAGAGGCAAATAATCATCTTGGGAGCAATGTGCAGTGACACTTCACTTATTTGGAGGTCAGCTATAGGGCAACAGTGCAGGGTTTGAGGGAGCAGAAAGGACCCCTCAGCAGCTAGAATACTCATGTGCTTTACTCACTGGGTAGATTCTCCAGTCCTCAGTCATGGCCTACTTACTTTTCACTTACTTTTATTCACAATTTTAATGTGTCCATGTGTGTTCCTGTACTAGCAGATTAGAAACACATTTAGAGTAGCAAGTGACCCCTTGTAGTCAGGGAGGCAACACCACACACACACACACACACTCTTAAAGCATTCATATGCATTTTATAAGTGGTCTAAGGTCGTTTAGCATAAAAGCAAATAGCTCTCCGTGCCCCTACTGTTACAACTTCAGAAGACACTGCTGGAGAAAAGCCATTGCTTTCTGTGAATGATCCTCAGTTATGCAGAAAATTTTTATTATATTGCAGATACGCTGAAGACAAGTGTAACATTTTAGAATGACTTCCTTCCAAAATGAGTATTTTTATTTTTTTCAGAGACAGGGTCTCGCCCTATTGCCCAGGCTGGACTGCAGTGGTGTGATCATGGCTCACTCTAACCTCAACCTCCTGGGCTGTGCACTTGCCCGTGTCCAGGCTCCGTCAGGAATGGGAGGTCCCGTGGAACAGTGGGATAAGGGTGAGATTTGGAACAGAGCCATACCGGGTCTAAATCCACCACTTGGTAGAGACTGGGCCAGTCTTCTGATTTCCCTGAAACTCCTCCTGAGCCTGCAAAATGGGGTTTATGATGCCCATGGCCCAGCTCTGTTGTGTGGGTTCACTTCAGGTGATGAAAAATCTGGCATCATCAGGCACTCACTTTTTTTTTTTGAGACAGGGTCTGGCTCTGTTGCCAGGCTGGAGTGCAGTGGCGCGAGCTCGGCTCACTGCAACCTTCGCCTCCCGGGTTCAAGTGATTCTCCTGCCTCAGCATCCTGAGTAGATGGGAATACAGGTGCGCACCACCATGCCCAGCTTATTTTTGTATTTTTAGTAGAGACGGTGTCACCATGTTGGCCAGGATGGTCTTGATCTTTTGACCTCGTGATCTGCCTGCCTCGGCCTCTCAAAGTGCTGGGATTACAGGCATAAGCCACCGCGCCACATCCAGGTACTCACTCTCTAACCAAGGTGCTTCTGCAGCCTTGGGCTGTGTGGCTGGGGGGTCCTTCTCCCCTCTCAGCGAGGCCTGGAGCTTGGTTCAGGCCCAGGATTTTTTTTTTTTTAATCTATTTATTTATTTTGAGACCAGGTTATGAGACTGGCTAGTTTTTAGTATTTTTGGTAGAGACAGGGTTTTGTCATGTTGTCCAGGCTGTTCTTGAACTCCTGGCCTCAAGCGATCCACCTGCCTTGGCCCCTCTAAAGTGCTGGGGTTATAGGCCTGAGCTACTGTGCCTGGCAGAATTTTGTTTCTTAAGGACTGAGTTCTGGTATCTTCTTTTTTTTTTTTTTTTTTGGAGATGCAGTCTCTCTGTCACCCAGGCTGGAGTGCAGTGGTGCGATCTTGGCTCACTGCAACCTCGGCCTCCCGGGTTCAAGCAATTCTCCTGCCTCAGCCTCCCAAGTAGCTGGGACCACAGGTGCATGTCGCCACACCCAGCTAATTTTTTGTATTTTAGTAGAGACGGGGTTTCACCGTGTTGCCCAGGTTAGTCTCGAATTCCTGAGCTCAGGAAATCTGCCCGCCTTGGCCTCCTGAAGTGCTAGGATTACAGGCATGAGCCACCACACCCGGCCCTGGTATCTTCTTTTATCTTAGATTCTAGATTGTGATTCACAGCCTGAGCCTTATCTCATGCTGAAAACACCTCCCACCTTCCCACCAAGAACCTCGATGTGGATCCCACACCCCTAAGACCAAGCATCTTGGATATTGGTATCTATCTTTATGGAATTTTAAGTTGCTTCATTTCTTTTCTTGGGCCCTGGTGGAAATAAACCTGAGTGACTACTCCCCAGTGCCATCACTTGGGCAGGATCCTCTGTCTTAGTTTCTCCATGCTGCCTGTACAAGGTCAGTCCCCTATCCTGGCTAGCCTGGGGCTTCACTATGGCTGACAAGAGTAGTATTACTGCCTACGCCTCATACAGCACACAACCAGAACCTAGAGAAACTTCTTTCAGGCCCACTGATCTATAATCACAGGCCTCCTTGGTGAACTCTTTCCTAAAGTCCTTCCAGCATTTGGAAGCATTCCACCACGAGGAGCAGTTTTACCTTAAGTCTTTGTTCACTGTCTTTTTTTTTTGAGACGGAGTCTCGCTCTGTCGCCAAGGCTGGAGTGCAGCGGCGCCATCTTGGCTCACTGCAAGCTCCGCCTCCCGGGTTTACGCCACTCTCCTGGCTCAGCCTCCCGAGCGGCTGGGACTACAGGCACCCGCCACCTTGCCCAGCTAGTTTTTTGTATTTTTTAGTAGAGACAGGGTTTCACTGGGTTAGCCAGGATGGTCTCGATCTCCTGACCTCGTGATCCGCCCGCCTCGGCCTCCCAAAGTGCTAGGATTACAGGCTTGAGCCACCACGCCTGGCGTCTTTGTCCACTTTCAATTTGCAATACCACTAGGAGAGAAAAGGTCTGGTTGAAGGGGAATGAAGATATCAGGCTGCAGGTATTTGAGGTGGCTATGGGGGAAGAGAAGAGCAAAGAAGAGGGCAAAGACCAGGCTATGGAGAGGCAGGGGAGGGATAATCACTGCTTCACTATTTCCATTGGGCCTGATGCTGAATGGACCAGGATTGTTTGCACTTGGGAAGGAGGGCCCAAAGGGAGAACAGTAAGCAAGAACCAGGTTCTCCGGAGCCCTCTCCCCAGTCCCTGGAGAGGGTCAGCAGTGAAAGGAGCTCAGGTCTTCCCTGAGCCAAGGTGCCAGGGTCCCAGAACTGCACATGGGCCCACATCCCTTTCTGCTACTTCCTCAGGCTCTTGCTCACTAGAAGAGAGGGAAATTGTGCAATTAGTGCTGGGTTTGAGGATGCTGACAGCGTGTAATCAACAGGGCCTCTCCACCAGGTGTGGGGCGAGACTGGGTACTGGGCTCCGCCAGGTGTGGGGCTAGACAAGAAGAGCCTTAGGGGAGCCTCTTTTCCCAGGGACTGGCTCCGTTAGGGAATTCCTCAGTTTTGCTCCTGAGGCATCACTCCCACCCCTACAGCTTCCTTCTACATCTTTTCCCTCTATCTTCCTCCCAAACTCTGGGGCAGCTTCTGTCACTTTGCTCACTAGGGGCTGGGTTCCAACACTGCTTACGAATCATTACCTCCATCACCCACCCCAGCTCTGCAACTCTGGCCGCTGCTTGTGCTCTCAGGCCCAGGGGCTTGCCTATAATCCTTGCCCTCATCTCCTCAGTTTGCTTGTTCTGTGGACACTCCTCCTGTCTAGAATTCACAGCTCTATTCCAACTGCTGACAGCACTCTTTAGATTCCAGTTTGGGCCCTCTTCCAGGAAGACCTCTTGGATTTGGCCATGGTGATGCCAGCACCACACATCCTGAATGTTTGTGAGCTTTCCCTCCACTCACCTTTGCCTGCCTTGAGGTATCCTGGCTGAGAATCCATCTGTCTTGCATAGGACAGACTGCTAAATGTCTGGTAGGTGTGGAGGGTGGAGGGTAGGAGTCATGACTCCTGTGTCCCACCAGGGACAGTTGCTCCTATGTTCTGGGCTCAGGGAATGCTCCATAA